CTCTAGTTATTTCATTTCCTGTACTATAATTACCCCCTACTTTATCTTTTCATTTCAAATAGCTTAAAGCTATATAGAGGGTCTTTTTTTTAAGTGAAATCTAAGGTTCATCACCAATTCTTGTTCAAAACGACAACTTTCCTTACATTTTTTAAACAAACATGCATATACTCATAATGTGACTTGGAAATTCATCATTGTTTAGTTTATTCATTCCAAGCTTATGCTAGCCAGCTTACAGAAATAAATTTACTATGCAGCTATGAGGTTTATAATATTCATAGCAGCAGAGAAAGCTGTCATGAATCTGTGGCTCTAAAATTCTCTAGAGGGATTAAAAACTATTACCAGATTTTTCGGACAACTAGAATTGCAGAGTGGGGAGACTGTCTAGTAGTATTTAATTTACATCAATTATTTTTCTGAATGTATTCATGTGAAGATCATACTAAACTCAGAATGTCTATCAGTTAGGATATTTTCTGCTTTGGCCCAGCAGTTAGCCTCTCCATGTCATGGATCCCCTTAATCAAGCTCTAACCATCATCCCATCAAACAAACATCTGTTTCTCTACACAATTTAAGTCTCCTCAAGTTAAAAACTTGTAACGCAACTTCCTTGGGCTGTGAAACACAGTAAATATGGAACACAGAGAACCAACAGTAATCTAGGACCAAATCTGACCGACTTAACAGGGAAAAACCTAATCAATATTGTTCTACCTATACAGCACAGAAATGGGATACTTCACTATGGCCATGTTAAAACAAAGCAGTAGGCCAGCTGTTGAGTGTCTTGCTGGCAGCAGCTTCCACACAATCTTGCTGCATTCATTAGAATGATGAAAGCAGCATTGTGCTGCAAAGTTTGTATGTGCCTGCACGTACACGTGGGACGTGGCTTATGTCATGATGCTGCAATGCTGCTTCCATCAGTTTGACACTCCGTGGACACCATTGCCCACTGGCCGATCATTCCCACTTGGCTCCTCTTGCAAGGAGGATGGTTACAATAACCCAGAACTTCCTAGGAACAGAAATAAAAGCATCACATCAGAACCTGCAATTCTGACAATTGCTTCTTTAAGATGCTAGGAGTTATAGATGGCTTCCAGATCCCTGATTTCTTAGAGCATCCATATTCAGACATAATATAAAGTTTTCTTTGACTATGTTCCTGGTTATTAAAGCTAGTTTTGTCTGCAGAAAAAGCCAGGTGGAAATGATGTGGCAATGTGTAAGTATGTGTATTCCATTGCAGATAACCTAAATTCCTTAACAGTTCTAGTTCACTGCTTTTGGTCAACTTGGGCTACATATTTCCTTCCTCTGTACCTATTTTTGACCAAGTGAACAGCTAAAAAAAAGAAGCCTACTGCACTTTTTGAGAAAGAGCATTCCAAAGCTCAAACAGTATCACAATTTAGAGAGACCTATTTAACATACTAACCCATCATGCCTCTGAAAGCACATTTCTACACAGGAAGAGCAATGACGAGAATTATAAAATACAGGTAGACTAACATTAGGGAAAACAGGCCTTCAAATAATTTGGGCCCACAGCATTTGTGCCCAGAAATAAACTGAAAACCAGTACCTCTTCTGTATGGCAGAATTACAGCTTCTATGAAATAGATTCCAGCTTATATAATAAATGTCACATTTTACACAAACTAATGCCTCTGAACAGTTTAATCTCTCTCCACATAGAGTGTGTTGCCAAAATCCAATCTTTTATTATAGTGCAGGAGTAGGCAACTTTCTGTAGTAGGGGACTGCACTTTTATTTTGCTTTTCTATGACTGAGTTCCACAAGGAACAGCAGTGATGTAGTAACTGCAGGGGACAGGATTAGAATGTTCTCTCTTTTAGGGAAGTTAATGCATGTATTTTTGTTGATGTTCTCTGAAAATTCACAGAAAATCGTATCATGCTCTTTGGTGGTTTGCATCTGAATTTTGGTAGCATAATCCTGGGGAACTGAGAGGTAACAATAGAAGAGCTGCCTATAGTCATCTGATTTTCAGCTCCTGTACAAAGACTTATATTACTATATTCTGATGGGTTTTTTTCTCCCCTGACAGGGCACTACTAGTGCACCAAACAAAGCTGGGCATTAATTAGTCAAGATGAATTAAGGAAATCCCCTAACGTATATTAATTAATTTCACATGGTGGCCTTCTTGCATCTTCTCTTACTGCCATTTTCTTCATTTCAATAAAATATTTTTTATCTAGCTTTTTGGAATTCAATTACTAAACAAATCCATGTGGGAAAGAAAGCAGCAACCTGGGTGGCATCACTAGGAACTCCTGCTGGAAATACTCGTGTTCCTGTTACAAGTCCCTGCTTCCTGCATACCTAAAGACAGGGTACACTGATGACAGAAGAAGGAAAAAGAGACTTTCTAATAGTCAGTCACTTTGCAGAGCTACCATGCATAAGCCTCTTTACAATATGGCTGTGAATGCGTATTTTAAAAGTGGTGGTAAAGCCTAAGCCTCACCCTAGCCCATTTGGTGGGGGGTGGGTGGGTGGGAGGGCAAGTCTGTCAAAATAAGCATACAGAATCAATTGGTGTATGAAACCCACTGGCAGGCAGAAACTTTTTTGCAGATGAAAAAGGAACAAGAGCCCTTTTTTCACTTTAAAATGTTTATACATTCAATTATTTGAATCAGTCATCATAAATTAAGATTTAATGAACAGAACGGCAGTCTTAATGAAATACACTGTTCTGTTATATGGATTATGGTCTACAAATAACTATAGTACAATGGATGCTATAAACATCTTCATGAATACTTTTACAGACAAGTGTTGTCCGTGCTTTGCATCTTTATTTAAAAAAAAAAATCAATCCTATTAATGTACTGGTTTCGAAGAGTGGTCAAACCAAAAACCCTAATGCTTTAAATGTGCTTCATGCTCATCATTACAGTGAGGATTTTTTTCAAGTGTTCTACAATAAGCATGAAAACAGTTGAGTAGAAATAGACTTTGGGAAGCTCAATGTTTTTATTACAATACATGTATCCATATTATAATGGAAAGAGATATAGTGTGCCAATTCCTAAAATCCACTAAAGTGTACTGCTATTACTTCTAATATTATTGAATAGTTCTGTCTTAATTCCAATGAATATCTGACTTGAATGCTTTGCTACTGCAGACTAGGGGAGGATGGAAAAAAATTGGAGTGAATAACATACACAGCACACACACACACATATGTACTTCCTTCTTGTTATTTATTTTTTTCATCCACTAGGCTGTAGTCTTATTTTGTTTTTATGGTATTATAACTTTATTCCAAATGTTCCAATAATCTTCAGTTGGGTACCTAAATGTAATTAATGTCCCCAGTGTATTAAGTACTGCTGTATTTTATTATTTTAATTAACATTCCTTGCTTTACAGATGTCAGAAATGTATACAGAGGATTTCTTGTAATGCTGCTCCATTCTTTTCTTATACATAGGTCTTCTATTAAAGTTTTAAATTCAAACTTGGTTGATGTATTTTTCAACAAGCAGATGTTTGAAAAATGTACCACTTTCCTACCCAAAATATCAATTCAATGTCAAATATCTGAGTAATTAGACTTTAGTTGAATTCTTCCTCAGTGTGTAAATCCTATCATTTTGCACCGCTACTTTCATAATGCCAGATTTTCAGAAACATGAAGATGAAGGGAGCAGTCATGCCCAGCATACCAGACGGGGTTGTCTTGTCTTGCACTGTGAGGCTGTATTACTGAATTAAGAAACCATGTTCTCGAACTCTTTTTCTAAATCGGAAAAAGCAGCCAAGGCAATGAAGAACGCTTCACCATCACCAC